AAGCTTCCACATGGTATAGTGGAAGATATGATCGTGAAGGTTGATAAGTTCATGTTTCCGGTTGATTTCGTAGTCATGGATATGGAAGAGGATGTAGAAGTTCCTTTGATATTGGGCAGACCCTTTATGAAGACAGCTCGAGTTATCATTGACATGGATGAAGGAAAGCTGAAGGTGAGGGTCCAAGATGAGGAAGTGAGTTTCAATGTATTTGAAACAACGAAGTTTCCAAAAGGCAACAAAGATTGCTTTAGAATTGATGTATTAGATGATGCGTACTTGGAAACTCAAAATGATTTCAAGAGCTCATCGCCACTACAGAAGGCTTTGCCTATCTCTAACGAAGAATTGGAAAAGGTCATTGGTAAAGCTTGTCATCTGCTAGTGGAATTGGAACATAAAGCATTTTGGGCTTTGAAGGCCTTAAATTATGATTTGAAGGCAGCAGGGGAGAAAAGAAAGCTTCAATTGCATGAATGGGAAGAAAGGAGATTGCAAGCTTATGAGTCTTCTAAGTCTTACAAGCACAAAGCTAAGATATACCATGACAAGAAGATTCTGAACAGGAACTTCCAACCTGGCCAACAAGTATTACTGTTCAATTCCAGGTTGAAACTTTTCCCTAGGAAGCTCAAATCTAAGTGGTCAGGTCCTTTCTCGATTAAATCTGTCAAATCATATGGAGCTATTGAACTTGAAGATCCTGCTTCTAGAAGGACTTGGTTAGTTAATGGTCAGAGGCTCAAGCATTATTTGGGTGGTGAGGTAGAGAGATTCACTGCCAGCACACATTTGAAGGAGCCATGAGCAATCTGGAATTGTCAAACTAAAGACATTAAATTAGCATGTTCTTGTTTTAATTTCTGTTTTAGATTCTAAGGTTTAGTTTGAATAGTGAGTAGTTAAGAGTTTTTGTTCATAGATTTCTTGATTTCAGTATGAATGTTGCTTGATGATTGGCATGTTTTGGAATGTGTTAACATTTCTGATCTAGTTTAAGTTTTGTTTGTGTGTTGTGTGTTAAGATTTTGTGTGTTATTTTGTTGTTTGATAATGGTGCTGCATTATTTTGGGTGTTGGGTCTGTGATTATTTTGATAATGTGGAGTGTGGAGTGAAATATCTTTGTTCATAGGGAGGTTTGGTTCCATGTTGATTGTGGTGTTATGATGGGTTGTGGCTGAGTTTATATTATTGTTGCTTGATGGTTAAGTACATGTTGAACTTGATGTCTAATGTGGAATAGTAGTGAAATCCTTTGTGATGTTTTGGAATCTCATGAACAAATAAGCTTTACACTTGGTTAAGAGGTTTTAAGGTGTTGATAGAGGTACCAATGTGAGATGATGGTTTAGCTAAGAAAGAATTTGGTTTCCACATTTAAAGATCCATGTCATTTGCTTTTGGAAATGAATGTTATCTCAATGTGCTTTGAATGGTTTGCTCATGTGCTTTGAGAAATTTTTCTATCCCCTCAACTCATGAAAGATCTTTGGGAATTTGAGTGGCAATATTTTCAGTTCAGAAATCAATTCTAAGTCTTGACGCTGCAGCGTTGGCGTCACGGCCTTAGCGCCAACTTACTTCCAGGCATTTTGTGTATAATAGTTTCCAGAGCTGAAGTTCCAGGCTCACAGCCATGGTGCCAAGACTCTGTTTGAGTCCAGTTACATGCTGAAATTCCACAGCTGCAGCGCCACAATCCACAGCTAAGGCGCCAAGTCTCTGCCAAGCACTTTATGTGTTAGAACTCCAACGCTCAAGCTCTAGCTCTCACAGCCATGGCGCCAAGTTGCTGTATTAGTTCAATTGCATATGAAATTTCCAGCGCTCAAGCGCCAGTCTCAGCGCCTAGGCGCTAATTCTCGGGTTGATCAACTTGTATAAGCAATGCCACAGCTGGAGCACCAAGGCCCATGGCCATAGCGCCAATTCTCTGGTGCATTTTGTGATATGTTTCAATCCCAGCGCTCAAGCGCCAAGATCCCCAGCCTTAGTGCCACTTTTCTGGAATACATTTCCAAGCTCAAATTCACGAGGTTTTTTTTTTAAGTAAAGAGTGGAGACATTTTGGATCAGTTTTGAAAAGAAAAAAAAAGAAACGAAAACTCTAATATCCACTTCTTCGTTTCTCTTCCTCTCCCACTCACGAAACTCATTAACCTCCTCACGTTTCATCTCCCCTCTTCATAATCTACATAAAACCATCATTTTGCATCATTCATTGTGCACAAACACAAAAGACTCCATTTTTATTGGCATTGCAAGGTAAAGTCTTCACTTTTCTCTTCTGTTTTCTTCGTTGCATGGAAGTGGTTGTAAGTGCTTCATTTCTTTGAACTCTCTTCATAGTCTTACATCATTTCTGAATCTTTTTGGTTGAATTGGAAGTACACACGTGAAAAGCATGAAGTTGGGTGTTTGAGTCTTCAATGTGGACATGCATGAACATTCATATTTTATGCTTGCTTTGTGTTTGACGAAATGCTTGAATGAAAGGGGTTTTTCAATTTGAATGCAATGTGCACAATATTCTTTTACTGTCATGAACTTTAACCCTTGAATGAACAAGAATGCATGTGCATGTTGTTTTTCTTATCAACTTTTATCTTGTGCTTGATTAAAGGCTTCATGAATTTGTCAATGAACTGTTCTTCTCACATGAACAACATGCACATCCCTCATACATATTCATCATTTCTAGGTTCTTTGATCATCATGAAAACACAGTATGGAATTGATTTTCTTCTTAGATTGAAAAGTTTGAATTGGGGGACATTTTGATAATCCACCTTGCACATGCATGACTAATTCCCATCTTTGCCTATTATGTGCTTGATAAAATGCCTAAGTAAAAGTTGATTTCATTTTTTTTTCAATCAAAAGAACCTTATGGCTAATCATGGAGGCAAGTAGAATTTGGTGCTAATAGCATTTCATTGGTGGCTTTGAAATAACTTTAGTGCTTCACATGTTAGAATGTTTATTGATCATTCCTTATGCCCCATGAAGAATTGTGTTTTGTTTGTATAATCAACTTGTGGCGGTTCAGATAGTTCGTTCAAGAGGTGGCGGTTTAGGCAGAAGCTCTAAAGCCACTCATAAAATCCCAGCTGCACCAATCCCACCACGAAGCTAGAAGGTGTCAAGGTGGTATATAATTTATTGTATAATATACTTTGTTCTCAATAATCCATCCCCTTTTCACAACTAAAAATAATCAGTAGAAACTAGTTTAGAAGTGATACTCTCATCTCTTATGTGCAACCAAATTTTTAAATAATATTTTTCATTGATTTTACAAATAAACAAAGTGCACATATAAATATATAAGTACTCAACGAGTCCCGGTATGTTTGTTTAAAGTCATTCTTAAATAAAAAAATTCCGTTGAATAGAAAAACTATCCAGTTACAAAGTCCACCCATTATTATTCTTGAGAGTTGAGACCCTGTACAGCGTAACTCTTATTACTAAGTGGATTGTAATATCCAGTTGTTCTGTTAAGTATTACAATGATGAAATGCGTGTATCTATTGTAGTTGTTCTGGAAGTTGGGATAATAAGCGCACAAGGGCTAATGCCAATGAAAACAAGAGATGGTAGAGGAACCACAGATGCTTATTGTGTTTCTAAATATGGACAAAAGTGGATCAGGACAAGGACAATCGTAGATAACTTATCTGTGTGTTGTGTTTATATTTCATGTAAGTTTTCTAATGTGTCCTTTACTTGCTGCATGATTGTAATGTGATTCTTTTTATGTATTTTTTGTATCAGGAAGATTCTAGGGTGTATGCAGGACTGAAAATACATCCGTTTTTTTCATTGTGGAAGGTAGAGAAGAAAAATCAGGAGGAGGAATGTAGTTTGATCCCTACTAAGAGGGAAGGGAGAGGAGTTACATGTGATTCTATTCATGTATTTGAAAATGTTCAGGTATGATTTGATGTTGCTACCTCTAATGTGAACAAAGGTTAGCTTGGATTTGTGAATTGTGAAAAAGATTAGGTGTTTGGCCTAAAACAACATGTGACCCTTTTGATGGGGTTTCACTCGCAAGTATGTTGAGTGATAGGAAGTTCTGTTCTATTAGTTTTTTCTTTGTTTTTATAGATTCTTCTCTTCATTACAAAATTTCTTCTTTTATTAAAAAAATTAAATATTTAAATGAATTTTCTTGTTTGAGATTTAAATTCTGTAATTTCTTATTGTCAATGCAGGATGATGTTTCACCCCTTGACTGGAGTGGTTGGACATTTTTGAATGATACCACCACTGCGGAGTTTGGTCCAACAAGTTTAAATTTATGTTTTGTTGAATCCTTAAATTTTGATAACTTTCCTGATGCTTTAAAATCCTCAAGCACTTCAATTTCTCAGAATGTCATGTCTTGCTCAGATCAACTTTTTAAACAGTCAGATAATATGCTGGAAATATCACTAACAAATTCAGCTGGCCTAGCTAATGAGCGAGCAATATGTCCATCAAAGCTAGAAGGTGTCAAGGTCGTATATAATTTATTGTATAATATACTTTGTTCTCAATAATCCATCCCCTTTTCACAACTAAAAATAATCAGTAGAAACTAGTTTAGAAGTGATACTCTCATCTCAGTGTACTTATAACTTACAAAAAATTATTATCAGGACCTGGACTTGATTTTAAATTACAGTTGTTTTAGTTTCTGTTTTGTTAATTGCTTGAACTATCTGGTGGGTTATATACTTTTTGTGAATTAACAATAAAAAAAATGGTTTGTTGAAAGGTAGGAAATGAGATGACTTTTAGATCAACAAAAAGTATTAGAAGTGATACTCTCATCTCAGTGTACTTATAACTTACAAAAAATTATTATCAGGACCTGGACTTGGAGGGGAATGAAATCAATACTTTTTCAGGACATAAGAACATTTTCAGAAAGTCAGATACTGAGCCACAAAGTAAATTTCTTCAAGAAAGGTTAACACACATTACCCAAACCAAATATCTTCTTGGTGATAATATGCGTAAATTTTACCATAGTGAATCTTTTTTTTTATTTTATGTTTATGTCATGCATATTTTCTTTATATTGTAGATTCTCTTAATTACCTTTTGTTGCACTGTTTATTTTTTCTTTTCACTAAACCATTACATGAACTTTGAGTCTCAGTTATTAGATCCTTTAAGACTAGGAACAATATATCCCTAATTAATTGGTTTACTTGTGATTGTTTTGGCCAAAAGCAAGGTGGCTGTGAAATCATTTTGTGGTCTTTACATTTTGATAGATGTGGTATACTATTTTAAGCAATCACTTTCTGTTTCTTTCTTTTCGCAATCTCTCTCTTAACCTACTAAGTACGGACTGATGTATGTGTCTACTTTCTCTTAAGAAAAAACTAATAGAACAGAACTTCCTATCACTCAACATACTTGTGAGTGAAACCCCATCAAAAGGGTCACATGTTGTTTTAGGCCAAACACCTAATCTTTTTCACAATTCACAAATCCAAGCTACCCTTTGTTCACATTAGAGGTAGCAACATCAAATCATACCTGAACATTTTCAAATACATGAATAGAATCACATGTAACTCCTCTCCCTTCCGTATTTGAAAATGTTCAGGTATGATTTGATGTTGCTACCTCTAATGTGAACAAAGGTTAGCTTGGATTTGTGAATTGTGAAAAAGATTAGGTGTTTGGCCTAAAACAACATGTGACCCTTTTGATGGGGTTTCACTCGCAAGTATGTTGAGTGATAGGAAGTTCTGTTCTATTAGTTTTTTCTTTGTTTTTATAGTTTCTTCTCTTCATTACAAAATTTCTTCTTTTATTAAAAAAATTATAAGATTTAAATGAATTTTCTTGTTTGGGATTTAAATTCTGTAATTTCTTCTTGTCAATGCAGGATGATGTTTCACCCCTTGACTGGAGTGGTTGGACATTTTTGAATGATACCACCACCACTGCGGAGTTTGGTCCACCAAGTTTAAATTTATGTTTTGTTGAATCCTTAAATTTTGATAACTTTCCTGATGTAAAATCCTCAAGCGCTTCAATTTCTCAGAATGTCATGTCTTGCTCAGATCAACTTTCTAAACAGTCAGATAATATGCTGGAAATATCACTAACAAACTCAGCTGGCCTAGCTAATGAGCAAGCAATATGTCCATCAAAGCTAGAAGGTGTCAAGGTCGTATATAATTTATTGTATAATATACTTTGTTCCCAGTAATCCATCCCCTTTTCACAACTAAAAATAATCAGTAGAAACTAGTTTAGAAGTGATACTTTCATCTCAGTGTACTTATAACTTACAAAAAATTATTATCAGGACTTGGAATTGGAGGGGAATGAAATCAATACTTTTTCAGGACATAAGAACATTTTCAGAAAGTCAGATACTGAGCCACAAAGTAAATTTCTTCAAGAAAGGTTAACATAAAATTGAGAATGTTGTATCATAAATTTAGAATATTACAAAAAGCACAAACATCAACATATAACAATGTTTTTTTTTAAATAAATATTAATTATGAATATACAAATAAGTTTGAGCATAAATTACTTATTTGTGCAATAATTCATGAAAATTATAAATGTTACTCCCTCCATTTTTTTTCATAGTCGTTTAAGGTTTTGTAAGGGACTTAAAGAAATCATTGATATTTTAATTTTCAAAAATATTTATTACTTACTTTCCTATTTTACCCTTTATTTCTTTTTGCATTTTTGAGACTGTTGAACTGCAATCTACTCCATTAATTATTAATGCATTGATTACACGTGAACTGTAACCTACTGTATTTAATTATACCTGTCCATGGATTAATGGTTATATTTTTTTTTATAGTATTTTGTTGGGAACATATTGCTCTTATAAATGCACATTAACTTTATACGGGTAGTTGGAGAAAAAATAGGTAAACATTAAAAATAAATACACACATTGTTCAGTAAATATGTATTAATTATCAAGGGTAAAAATGGAGAAAAATAATTAATGTCATTGATTTTAGTAAAATGACAATGAAAAAAAACAACAAATTTTGACAAAATGACTATGAAAAAACGGAAAGTGTACAAATCATGATTATTAGAGATGATTAAAATCTAGTTGGTTGATCATAAATGTCTTAAGAATATCTATAAATGTTAACAAAAATTAAATATTTTTACTATATTAAATAAATAAATAAAGATAATGTGAAGATTTTACTACATTAAAACTTTTTCATTAACTTAGAAATGTTAATTTCATAACTCCATGTATTAGTAATTTTATGAAAAATTTATGTAAAAATCATTGTCAAAAAAAATCTTTTTTTTGAGAATATATTTTTAAAATAACAAATTCACCATTGAAGATTATCATTTCTTAATTAAGTTTTTTGAAAAAGTAAAAAAAAAAATTGTTTACCAAACATGGTAAACTAAACATATTAGAGACACTAAATTAAGTATTTATCATCTTTATAGTTTATTAGTAGAGTAAATAAATATAACGACCTGTCGTAACCCTTGTACAAAACGAAATCATTATAATTAACAGTAGAACTAAACTATTAGAACACATAAGATTAAAGGAGAAAATGTGTCATAGATATATATAAAACCTTAGCATGTGATAATGTTAATTTTTACCTAGAATTATTATCCAATTGTATTAACATAATCAACTCTTCTCTAACTTTTAACAAGTTTAGTCCTTTTTTTTAAGTTTTTGTAAGTAATTGAATATTGGTTACTATCATTTGATTATACCACTAATTCTCAATTTCTTGTTTAACATATGGTTAAGAAGTTAGAGAAATGCCAAGTGTGAGAAAATGCTTGGAAGCAAAAAAAAAAAAAAAAGTTTAAGAGTAGTAAAGGTTCCATGTGCCAAACGCCACTTTACGTACGATTTACGCTATCCAGATAGAGAACATCATTTTTTTCAATGCCAAGCGTCACTATATTTGTGTCAGACATAGTCTTGGCAGATAGTCACTGAAACTTTAGAGTTGAGCGTAGACCTACTCACGCCTAACGTGATCTTGATAGAGAGTTTGTATTTTGTGTCCTGATGCTCGTGTCTAATGTGGCTTAACCTACGTCGAACAATATTTTTATGACATGACTATTTGGACTCATTTTTTTCCTCTCTCTTTGAGGGATGAGGGGCATGCTGAACAGGGGGACAAGTGAAAGGACTCTTTGAGGTTACTAAGGCTTGCTTGAAGATTTCCAATCCTCTTTTTAGATCTCCATCTTTCACCATAAATATTTTATTTATAAAATTCACATTTAATATAAAGTGTTTGTGAAGAAGAAGAATTATTATACTTTTATCCCATTAAATTTTCTCTCTTATTTCAAATATGAAATAAATAAAAAAAACTCATTCAAATAGAAATGCTGATTTTATTCGAAGGAATTTTCATTTTTATTCAAATATACTATTAGTCAAATTGAATATATGTTATTTAAGTTTAGAATCAAAGTATTAATCAGGAATAATTATTTAAATTTATTGGAATGTATGCATGCACTTTCAAATATAAATGTTATTCATTCACTTTATTATTATTAATAATATTATTATTATTATCAAATAAAGGAAATTTTAGTGCTTCTTTTAAATATTATTTATTTAAATAAACAACATTTCAACGAAATATTCATTTAATTCTAAGTTTAATTCAAATAAAAAATAAATTTAATCAAATAAAAGAATAAATATATATATATATTTTTTTTAAAATAAAATTATAATTTTTTAATTATAATATCTTTTCTATCCATCCATTCAAATCAAATAATTTTATAATATTTTTTTTTCAAACCTAACAAATTCATTTCCATCTCATTTTTACTTTTTTATTTCTAACTATCCTAATTTTTTTTCTTCTCACAACTAAGCCCAGTATTGAGTGCAGTGCCGTGTTGTGATCGAGTTATTTTTGTCTTTTCTCGGTTATGCTAAAACCCAGAATTTGCAAAAAACAATGATTGGGTTGGTTTCTGTTGTGTTCCGAGTTGCGACTGAACCAATCAACCTCTCTTGAAATACGAATCAAAAGTAAAGTCCATAAAATAAAAACAAGAAAAAACAATGGTAATGTGGGTATTTGGGTATGGTTCCTTGATTTCGAGAGCAGGGTTTCACTATGATGAACGTGTTGTTGGTTTCATCAAAGGCTATCGGCGTGTCTTCTACCAAGGTATCATTTTTCTCTCTTTTCCCATCACGGTGTTCAATTCAATTACCCCATAATGCATCAAACACAATCTCCATGGTTTTTTAATTTTGTGAGTTCTCTCTCTTTTAGGCTCTACTGACCATAGAGGTACCCCTGAGTTCCCTGGTAGAACAGTGACCCTGGAGCCTGCTGAAGGAGAAATTTGTGTAAGTATTCATAAGTTTTAATTTTTTTCCAGATCCCATTACTTAGGATGATTTATCAGTCATAAGTGATAACCAGTTCCATAATTCATCTGTTTAATTGTTATAGGTATGTTTCCATAAACACTTACTGAAGAAGAAGATATGAAAGAAAAATAAAATAAGTCTTTTCATAAACTAAAATTAACCTCATAAGCTAATTTGTAAAAGTTCTTTTATATTAGTTTCTCAAAAAAAAAAGAAGGAAAAAAAAAAAAGGAATTATATAAGCTAATTTGAGCTTATGAAATTTTTTTTATTTTTTCCTTCTTTTTTCTTTTCCTTGGAAAAGTTTATCCAAACTGACTCTACAGATGTTCTAATATGTTTCTGCAAGCAAGCTGTGATGACTTTTACTTTTATGATGTGCATATGACAGCATAATATTGTATGCTTAATTTGATGAAAATTGGGGTCTATAAGGTTAAGCTTAAGCAATATATTTCCCCGTTTTATTTTGGGTGAATAGGCTAACATAGAGTGGAATATGAACATTTCTAGATGTTCCCTTTGCCTTATTTTTGGGATTAACTGTCTTATACTAGTTGCTTTAGTCAGTTTTTCTGTTATGGTGTTGGCTGCTGAAAATATCCAATGCCCGTATAGCTGTTGCACCTACAATTTATACTTGAAAAGAAAATTAAAGGTGTTTGTCTAGATATTCTGTTAACTTATAGGTTCTGTTTACCATTTGTTGAATCTCTATGAAGAGATTGCCTCTTTGTACTAGGAAGTATGATGGTATACTCACTAAGAGCAAGTTTAGTCCAAACAAAATTCAACTTGGTTGTTGGTTGTAAAAGTAGAATAGCATTTCATTTAGTGTTCAATCTTGTTTCCACATTTAACTTTTATTTTCAGATAATTACTTCGGCCTTCTTAGTATCTTATAATATATTTTCAATTTTGTACGAATCAAAATTATCAAATGCAATCAATATTTGATACTATATTTTGCATGGAGGTAGTGGGGAGCTGCTTACAAGATCTTAAAGAAAGAAGATGAAGAAACTGCACTAGAGGTATTTTTAAAAAAATATTTCTATATTAATGGAATATTATTCTGCTGCAACCTAAGTTCAAACTTATGAATAGATTATTCTTTTTTCCCTATCTCAACATTGACTTGCTTACGAACTGGATTGTTTGCTGTCACCTTAGTGATTGTACATTATTGTTCTATTTTCATCATCTACTATGCGTACTTTCTGCTATAAATTAAGATGAATTGAGCTGAAATATACTATCTCAAATAGGTCAAACCAGTAGATAAATGATCATCGTATAATACTTTACGGATTTATGCAGAGCATTTTTCTTTCATAACCATTATGGATGTGTTAATGAAGAAGCATTTATCTCATAATGATAGAAGATCATATTGATTTATGTTAGGACACCTATTACTGGGGAGTTGTGTTGTGACTGTTTGATATAACAAGATAAGATTAGTATTTGTCTGTTTTAAAGTTTTTTAATCTTCATGGTAAGATTACTCATTTCTCCACTTTATTTGAAATAAAAGAGGGTTGAGATATTTTCTTGCGCTAATCATTTGAATTCATTTGCTTAAATTGTTTGGATTAAGTTGGTATTTGGTTAGAGTGTCTTAGTGGGATAACGTTTTGATGTTGTTGTTTGGTTAGAGTTTTTTAAATGTTTAGATTTCCCTATTTCCTAGTTACCTTATTTCATTGTGTATTTTGATCTGTTTGCTTGTATATATATTTAGATCAGGAAATTCTGAACACTTTATATAAATAATTCTTCTGATCCCTGAATTGTAGGGATTCAGTTATGTGGTGATGTAAATATAAATAAAAAGCAGAGCTACTCTCAATCAATTCACAATTATCAAATTTAGTTGAAGCTGTAATATTGACTTCTTTCTGTAATAAATAAATTGTTGATGGTATTAGACATAAGCTCAGAAGTTGATTAGATCTGAAAGTATTATTGAACAACAATGAGAACATCACCATTGTAAACTGATAACATTATAAAAAGAGACACTCAAAACTAAGTTCAAGCTTGAACAGTGCACACTATGCATGAGTTAAAATCTTTTTCAGTGGCTAGGCTTTGTGATCTTTCCTATCTATATTCCTACTGATTGAGCAGTACTATACTTTCGCTGAACATTTGTAATTGGATGACATTTTGCTAGCCTTTTTTTGGTCTGCAAATGACTCCGTGTTTACTGAGCAATGATGTTTGGATGGACTTCCTTGAAATGTTGTCTTATTACCTTAGCAATAGTATCTCAATGTGCTGCCAAACCCTGTTTCTTTTGATAATAATAATAATAATAATAGTCTCTGGTTCCAACACTGATGCTATGGGAATGGGAGAGTGATTCCTCTATTATATCTCCTTATTAATTTTGTTTTTGGACTTAATAAAGCCCTCATTTCTGTTCTGGCTTCTCGTTTACTAACAGAACATTATGTAGTTTTTTTTTTCCATCAATCTAAACTTGCAGATAAAGGTATTTACACAACCCTCCGACTCGCACTCCCACCCCCTTTTAACATCCACCAAATGAACCATGTCATGATTATTTAATAATATCAAACTTGCATAATTTCTTCACAAAATTGCTTATATTATATGGAAATCATATTATTATGCTCTCTTATTAAGCACCTGTGGATTTGACATGTTTGATAGTAGCCCACATCTTTGATGTTGCTACAGTTAACATGATCATATAAACAACACTTCGCTCTTTTATCAAGTATCAGTACTTTAGATTGATATATTCAAGTGTAATTACTTCACAGCATCTGGAGGTTAGGGAGAAGCAATACGACAAGAGAGAATACCTTGATTTTTACACTGTAAGTTCCACATGCTGACTTTTTTCTTTTGACTACATTATTTTATTCTGCTTTATATTATTGTAGTAATTACTCCATTAGTAACTCACTTTTTGACACACTCTTTTAAATACATTTTCTATTATTGGTTGAAATTTATTAGTAAACATAATTTTCCATAGATCTCATGTCTTCTTTAATGAGACTATTCTACTTTTGTAATTTTTAATAAATTTTAACTGATAATAGAGTGTGTTACTTGCACTCCTCTTCCACTTGTGAGAGTAAACATCTACCGAAATTTGTTTCAGGACCCTAATGCTACTTCTCCAGCCGTTACTGGAGTGTTGGTGTAAGTGAAAGAGACAACCTTAAAACTTTTTCACCTTTTGCATGGATAATAATGATTTACGTCAGTATGTACATTTTACAGATATATAGCTACTTCGGACAAGAAGTCTAACGTAAATTATTTGGGCCCTGCATCTGTTGAAGAGATTGCAAGGTAATGTAATTGCACACTTTTTACGTGGCATATAAAAGCTAACTTTAGTTAAGTTTATACGTTGGTTTGGAGTTCTTGGTTTCAGGAGGCATATGAATTAGTCTTTTATGCTTGATATTCTAACAGGCTTGGTACTGAAAATCTAAAAGGTGACGATTTGTTTGTTTTGAAGCTGTGGTTTGTTTGGCTTAGAACATAACGGAGAAATAGGTTGGAAAAATAAGAATAGAAGTAAAAGAGAGATAGAGTAGAAAACATGCATGTGTTATTTTAATAGATAGAAATAAGAAGGAAAAAGGTGAAGAAATTCCTCTCTGCATTTTTTTTTATCAATCGTAAAAGATTACAACGGGAGCAATGAGTATCAAACTTAAATTTTCTACATCTACTCAACCCTTCTCTACGCTATTGAATGAAAGAAAAGTAGATAGAAAGAAAGAAATAAATTGTATATAAAATTATTAATTAAAAAATAAAATTAACCCGAAATAACTCATAAATTAAACTTTTTACTATATAATTATTTTGCAATAAAATTATTTATTATTTCTTATCCTGTAAATGTATTTAATTCTTTAAAAAAATTTAAACAAAAAACTTCAAATGCAACAAATATTTCTTTCTTCCCACTTTGCAGAGAAATTTATATGCGCTACCCACAAAAAACTTTCTTATTTTTCCTCTTAAATAGATAATAAAAATTGAGTATTTTTATCATATTACGTTAGAACTTAAGTACATGAGAAACACTTGATCTAAAAGACTAGTTCATTAGATAAAAACTAATTCTTTAGATAATATCATGTTGAGTTTCATATTTTACTTAATGTAAGACTTTTAATATATTATATTCTATGGTCCTTGTTTTGATGTATGACTGAACATGTTAATTTTGTGATTCTAGGAATCAAGTTACCTTAACATAGGATTCAAGTCTGTTTTATATATGATAATGATTGATGCATTATGATTGTGTTTGTGGAAATTTAGACTCATCACTTACGCCTTTCTTTTCCATCCTACAGGCAAATAGTTGAGGCTAAAGGTCCCGCAGGACCAAACAGAGATTATCTTTTCATCCTTGAAAAGGCTCTTCTACAAATTGGTGAGGTTCATTTCAATCATTCTCTGTATGTTTCCTTTTACATTGTATTTTTTAACCTATTAATCATTCTTTAGGATGCAAAGACCAGCATGTCATTGATCTTGCAAATGAAGTCAGGCGTATTCTTGCAGAGGAACACTGAATGCTGCATTGTGTTTTTAATTTAGCACAACATTGAAATTTGAGACACTGAACTGCCCTATATTTAAATCCATAGGAAACTTCATTTCTTCCAAGAATGTTACTAGTATGTTGGAAGAGAATATTCAACTCAAATTGTGTCTGTAATCTTCTCATATAACATCTTTACTTTGTGACCCATATTATGGGTCAGCTAAGATAGAACTGAAACCATATTGTGATAATTATTTAATATAATAACAGGGGTCCGATTACAGTGCCACAGCAGAACAATGTTTTTTATAATCTTTATTAAATATATTATAATAATTTATCTTGGACATTGTATGGTATAATCTATACTAATATATTTATACTAATATATAAAAGGGATATTTTTTTCGGTAATTATTTTGATCTCCACATTTTTTTACTATTATACCCTTTTCTTTTAAAAATTAGAAAAAATATTTTTAATTAAATTTAAGAACTTGAAACTAATGATCTATACTTCTATACTAATATATAAAAGAGATATCATTCTCAATAATTACTTTTGATTTTTATTTTTACATGAATTATTTTATCTTTTATTTATTTTTTAATAATTACTTTTTTTATGAGTAATTTCTTTTTTTTTTCTTGTTTATTTATTTACTTCTTTTAATACAATACAGGCACAAAGTGCCTTTTTCCTACTAGTTAAATTAAAAATAATTAACGTTATGAAATAAATTATGTTTTTTAAATTTAAAGAAAATATCGTTATAAAAATCTAATGAAATATGAGATAAAGATATACTTATAATAAATAATAATAATTTATTTATAAATAAACATAAATTATTCTACATTAATAATTATAATTTAATTAATAACAATGTATAATTATTAGTTATTTTGGATTGAATATGTTAAATTATGGTTCAACATGAAAAATCATAAAATGATTTTTTTTAACTTTAGCTATAAAAAGAATCAAGCGATTTTTACTTGTTATAGATAAAATTTATTATTATTTTTATCTAATATATACTATGCATTTGGTATATCGGTTAAAGGACATTAAATATACACATTTTAAATATTTTAAAATACGAAAATATATTAAAATTTAAAATATAAAAAATATGTTATTTTTATAATCAAAATATATTTTTTTATTTACTTGATTTATACACGTGATATATATTAGTAAAGTTAAATTATATTTTTTTGTCTTTTTTAAGTAAACTAAATTATATTTTAATTTTTATTTTATTTTCATTTTTGTTTTAACTTATCATTTTTACATGATAAAAATAAGAAGATTTGATTAAAATATTATTAAATATTAATTATTATATCATCTATTTAACTTTAATCATAACTAATATAAAATTATAAATTTTATAAAATTAAAAAATTAAAATTAAAAAAAATACCAAAATTAGAAATTTGATATAAAAAGAAAATACAATTTAACCTAACAACAAACACCTTATTCTATTCGGTTAAGACTTAAGAGTATTGTTGGTTTCTTTTTTTTTTTTTTTTCTCTAAGTTTGTTTTTCGAGTTTATCCTCTAATAACTAACTACAATTTTTTTTATAAATAAAAAAAAAAAAAACAAACAAACAAACAAACTGTTACAGACTTAAAAAAATATATTACTTATTTAATTATTAAAAAAACTGTTATTCCCTTATCGTACTTTTTCCCTATACAAGCGTGTAAGTTCATACTAAAAGCAATCCATTTCCTGCGAAAACCGAAACCCTAACAGATTTGGGCCAATTGGAAGAATACTGAATCCTCAAAAGTCAAACCATGCGAAGCGTAGAGGTGGCCAAGACGGTGCTCGAGGTCGCCGACGTCGCTTGGACCGCCGTCGAGCACACCCACAATTACCGCCGCCACCACAATTATCCCGTCGTCGCCGACTATAACTGCCCCTCCGACCAAGACTTGGAGTCTTTGCGATCAGAAAATCGACGCCTCAGGAACTTGCTCAGCCAGAATCTGAAACTACTCCAAAACCTCTCTGATTCGCCTTGCTTCGATAATTGCCCTCCCGATGTACACCCCTTTTCTCTCCTTCTATCAAACAATGTTCTTTTTTGTAAAATGTCTTTTATTTTTCTTAAAATTGGCATTTCAATTACTTCAAAAGGTTAAATAAATTATTGTTTAATTTATTTTAAATTGGATAATACATCTTTCTTTATAATTGAAAAGAACATCAATAATTGTTTGGTTATATCAAACAGGCTGTGTTTCACAAATGAACACTTCACCTAACCTTCATCTTCAAAGGGCCAGTTTGTGTTAAAGTTTTATAAAATTGATTTTGGTGTAATTTAATTTTGATAGCATTAGGAGGGATGAGTGCCAAGTTAATCTCAACCGCGGATGTTACATTGCTAACGTAGGAGGAATTGATTCTGTATAATTACCGAACGAGCATGAATTTGTGTCACGGCTACTAGGCATCTGGATAGGAAATGAAAAAAAAAAATACTAATAATTTATGGTTATTTATTTATTTTTGAATTGGGTGCTACTGTTTCCTTAAATTTTATTTTTATCAAAGAAGCTAATTGTTATCCAATAAAATATTGGTCGCGTTGGAAATGAGCTGAGACTAGACATCATAAAGTTGCCACTTTGGGTGTTCTTAACCTAACCATTACCCTCGACACCGTGTATCAGTGGAATTAGTCTAATACTTGTGGGAATATTGGTAAATAAAGAAAAAATAAGCTTTTCATAAATAAAAAAAAAAAACAAAAAAGAAGCTAATTTCTGGGGCAAGTTTATTTTTTGAATTGGGTACTTTTAGTTTCTTAGTAATTATGTACAAATTAAGCTATTTTGGGTACTGGTCAATCATTCTGTGTGATATTGTTTCACCTGCATTTGCAAAACAGCAAGCATTTCCATAATATCATTCCAAGGGGTATTAGTTGGCTGCGTTGTGCATTGGCTGTTGTCATGATGTTTCCCCTTTCATTGTTTATATTTTGGGGGTATTTGATTGCAGTTGAATGACCGGTTAATTGCTACCATGAGGTCTGATGAGTACCTGACTCGGCTGAAGTTCCTACAAGAAGAAACTGCTAGCGGAGGAAATCAATTTCCCTTCAAAGAGGCTAATGGTATTTGGTTAAGTTTCTTTGCTGTTGCTGGTGTACCTTGTGTGTGCTGAACTACTTGGATATTGACAATTTCTCTGGTTTTTGGTTTGTATTTGACAGAGGTTGATTATCGGTCAGCTGACATTTTGGTCAATGTTGATTCTCAAGAACCCAGTTGGTGGGTTTGGGTTAAGGATGAGACAGATCCTAGTAATATGGAGGAATGGAGTGGAATTGATGATGAGAGTTACTTGGTCATCAGTGAGGAACATGTGGTTGATGGTGTTGCCAACTTTATGGCCAGATGCATTTTGTCAAACCCAAAAGCTCGGGTGCGTGTGACCGTGTCTGTGTTCAAAGAATATGCATTGTTATTAATCTCTTTTTCTGGATCTGACTGACATTAATTGCCTTGTTATAATTGCAGAATTTGTCGCCAGAGGAACTGCAGAAAAGTGAGTTTTTTTGTCACATTTTTGCATCTAAATGGTTTTTCCTTTACATTTCCTTCACCTAATTTGTAATAAAGGATCTAGAATTGTAGTTTATAATCTGCTCTTGCTCAAATGGGTTCGTAAAAGGTTCTCCAATCCTTTTATTTTTTCTGCTTGGTGAGGAAACTGTTAGGCTCGAGAGCCAGCCTTAGTAGAATATTGAGGGTAGGATTTGGGGGATTTATTCCCAATGGAATAAAAATCAGGGGCCATAGAGATAGAAGAATAGAAGGGGGGCGCCACAATTCTCAAGAATTGGTAAGCCATGGGAAAAGATTGCCACAAGAGTCAAGGCCTCTTGATAAGATCAAGGTTTGACTAAATGTAGAACCCCAAGAGAGTCAGTTTCTCTCCAATTGGAAAATACTCCTCTTCATCACTAGGTAGGGCAAAATCATAAAAAAAAAAATTCACTAATGATCTCCCTATTTTGTTTAAGTAACATAGTCTTCTTATTTTGGCACTTCAAAGCTATGTGACCTCTTCCCAAACACTTGAAATATTTTATCTTTAGGGGACTCTTTGGACTTATTTCGAGTCCTTTGAGGTACAACAGTGAATTGCTTGAGGAAGTACCTCCCTTCTTATTTTTTTCTTTCAACTTGGAAAATCAAAGTTTGAAAAACTTCTCCTCATGTCACCCTTTCCTGAGTTGTTGTTTTACCTTAGTGGCTTGAGACATTAATTCTTTCAATTCCACATACTTTTGCAACTCCTAAACATCCCTTATATCACTATTCTGCCTTTATACAAAACATGTCGTAGTGGTGATGAGGAGTATTTTCCAATTGGAGAGAAACTAAATCTATTGGGTTCTTCATTGAGCTAAACCATGTTTTTTCCAAGAGCTCTTGACTCTTGTGGTGATCTTCTACTGTGACTTATCAATTCTCAAGAATTGTGATGCTTCCCTTCTATTCTTCTATCAATTTTCTTTTTGTTATTTTTTTTCTGATTAGGTTAGTAGTTACCAACAATGTTCCTTAATCCAGCCTATAAGTAACCTTTTACATGGCCCAACTCTAAGGGAAAAGTGTACAAGTTGCCTAGTCTAGCATTCATATGGTTCTTAACAAACTTTTGACTTTTAGCTGCAGAGTCATTAAGTTAAGTTGTAACTAATGGGTAAAGTCCTTTTCAAATATGATGGATGAGAAAAATACTTTTTTTTCAGATAATCTTCCAACTAAATGATTTTTTTCTTTTCTACATTTAATGCTTTTATATCAAAATTGCTGATCCATGAGCTGGGAACCACTGTCTTGCTTCAAAATCCAATACTTGTTCTGTAAACTTGATTATAAATTTGGTTCTTATACTTGACATTTTTTCTGTTTTTAGTCCTTACGTGAAAAACAAATAAAAACTTTAGATTTTGAATCCTATGTTAAAAAATAAAAGTTTATTAATTGATTTTTTTGTTTGCCAGAGTTATAACAAATTTTGATGTAGTCCTTGTAGTTGACACTTCTTTGTTATAGTCCCTACATCAAAAAAATTTCATACTTCATTTTGGTCTCTACATAAAAGATTAAATAAATAAATAAATAAACTCTGCACAATGATCCCTACATGGTCCACCATTTTTCATTTTGATCCCTCTATGAAAATAAAACTAAATTCTATTATGACTTAAGCTATTCAGCAAATGCCAGGGAGTTATTTGTAAACTTTTTTAATGTAAGGACAAAGATGTAAAATTTTTCATATATGAGAACTAAATAAAAAATGCAAGTATAGGACCAAATTGTAGTTTAACCTTATCTTATTCATTTTCCTATCTACCTTTGGCAATATTTTGATTGATATGATTTTTTAATGAAGTGTCTAATTACACATTTTTTTGTCATTGTGATTAATATCAAAATATCTGCATCTCATTTCAAATTATCTGATGATGTTACAGCACTATCAAAAGCATTGCAAGGTACAAGCAAACTGGAAAAGATTTTAGATATTTGGCAAGCTGGAAAGTTGTTTTATACTCTGTCTACCTGGGGACTTGCTTTGGCAGGGTAACACTCTCAACTATTATTATGATTTCAAAACATACTTCTATATTCTGTCTTTTGCTGGACACGAGAAAGACATATACATGTCATGATGAAAATTGGTAAAGATTCTAAAACAATTTCAGTAAAATACTTTTATACCCTGTATTTTCCTGGACATTTTGATCGTGCATGCATGTGCGTGTGTACGCTGACAATTTGTCATTTTTTGTATGACATATTATGCAGAAAATGTTTGAAATTTATTAATCAAATGAAATTCTAAGTTGTTTATATTCTCTGCAAATTAAATGAAGTTGTGATCTTCCTTCGACTCAAGTAAATAACATTGAATTAGAAAGAAATGCAGCATCTCCACGAACTTGTTTAGCTAAGGCTACTCTAGTTTTACTCAAGCTAAACTTGAATTGTGTATTAGTCAATGGCAATGTTTTCTAATTTTTTGTCTTACTATTTTGATAACAGGCTTTATCAAAGTCGTGCATTGCTGAGAGTTGCTGCAAAGGGTGTTCATACAGGCAGTAAACTTGCCCTGAAGGCTCTCTAAAGATGACTGTTCCATGACCATGGCAAATATATGGAGCTTAATGAGCCTTGTCTGTGTATAAATTTATTTGTTAATTACTTCCTACAAAATCTAGCTGATGCAAACAACTTGTAAATAAAATTATTCGTTGTCTTGTCTAGCTGTGAATTCCATGCTGGCTTCTATTCTTCTAACAATGCTACTATTGCAACAGTGTGAAATTGCATTGAACATTTTATTGTTGAATGGCTTAATGCTTGTGTTCACATTTTATCCCCTTAAAGACTTCCATGGTGTTGATGTTAATTCACTGAATTCTTTCTTGTAAATAGCAGGTGTAGATGCAGTTAATGCTAATGTTTTAAAATGTCTGTAATATATGTAGCATCAAATTTATTTTTACTCCAGGAAAAATGTAACATCCAAATACAATGCCCGTGAAAGAATAGACAATCCTTATGACATCTGAAAGCTGTTTTCAGTAGAAACAAGAAACAGAAGGCCCGTGAAAAGCAGACAATCTTTATGACATTTGAAAGCTGTTTTCGGTACAAACAAGAACCATTGTATGGCCGGAAACAGTCTCCAATATGATGATGGACTACTCACTGTTTCAAAATAAATATAGTCTACACCTGCACACAATCCTGATTCTCTTGCACGCGTTAGTATTTTGAGAGAAAGCATTTATTGTTCTTTAATTGAAGTATTTTTAAATTTAATTTTAAATCTATAATTTTAATTTTTATTTTTAAATTTATCTTTAATATCTTTTTAATAAAAAACATCAAAAGATAAAAATAATATCTTGTATTACAATACAAAATATTTATCATAAATTAAAAATATAAATTATATGTTCACTAACATTTATTTTTACAAGTTTTAATTTTAATTATAATATGATTTATTTACTCAAGAATTTATTAGTTATAAATTTGTTATATAAAATAAATATTTATTTTGGACATTATACAAGGTAAAATACAATTAGTAAAAGAAATTATAATGTTAAAGTTAAATATAAAAATAATAATAATCAAACTAAAATATTTATAATTTTTGAATAAAAAATGTTTATAATTACACTTTACATATAATATTTTTACAACAAAATTTATTCAGACCTATAATTTAATTTTTAAAATTTATCTTAAATTACACAGAAAATGTTACGATAAATTATTTATATGTCATTATTTATATTACTTTTATACATTATTTACATAAATTATTTAGACTAATCTTTTTTTAAAGTATTTAGACTAATCTAAAAATATTAAAATGTAAATATTATTAATTTGCATAAGAAAATATTAAGTAGACTAATCTTTTTTTATATGTTCATGTGTATTTTAATTAATTATAATATATAAATAATTTATTAAATTATTTTAATATTTTTATATCACTTTAAAACATGTCTTTACTCAATAAAAATAAAACATCTAATTATTTATTATTATTTTTTCTTTTATTTTTAACCAAACAACTCACAATATTATTTTTCTTCCTTCTCTTTTGTAAAATTAAACTTAAATTATTTGTTTTTCATCTATTTATTTTTTCTCACTTTTTTGTTCTTTGCACCGTTTTTTTTCCAATTCTGTGACACTTAAGTAACCTTTTAAGAAGTATAAAATCACATGCAGCATTGCAGGGAATCTTAACTCCAAAATATTTCAATTTTAAAAACTTTCGGTTTCTGTTACATTGATTCCATTAAATACAGTCTCAATTTCAAAACCTTGTTGTTCATTCATTCAATCACAAAAAAAAAAAAAAAAATAATGGAGGAGGAACCACACAATCAAAGCACACCCAAGCGCAGGAAAACAGAGAAAAAAGAACAAAGTTCCCCTGTGACAGAGAAGAAGAAGAAGAATTCCCCTGCAAAACGACTCACTCCAAGGAAGAGTAACTCCAAGGTGACTCACTGTTTATAGATAGTTCATTTGATGTCAATTAAAATGATTCATTGTTCGGTGTGCATGTGTTTTTGTTTTCTCATATATTTTTCGGTGTGTGTTGAATTTGAGACCTCCCAAAGGGAATGTGAAAATTGAGAATTTTCTAATGTGTCCTTTACTTGGGCAGAATAGCACGCCTAAGAAAAATGGATCGGTTGCCAATTCACCCAATTCTGCATGGAAGTTCGACTTGAAGTTAGAGGCAAAATTATCGGCTGAGGTTAGTGTTTCATATAACTTTGACTTATGAGAGAATTTTTTTGTCTGTGTTTGAGCTGTGTGGAATAGTGACATGTTGTAAAATTTTGATGATCTGACCTGTTGGTGCATTGACCTTTTAAGTTTTTGTTAAGGTTTTTGAAGTCAGGGACTTGGTTTCATGCTGCATGATTGTAATGTGATTCTTTTTATGTATTTTTTGTATCAGGAAGATTCTAGGGTGTATGCAGGACTGAAAATACATCCGTTTTTTTCATTGTGGAAGGTAGAGAAGAAAAATCAGGAGGAGGAATGTAGTTTAATCCCTACTAAGAGGGAAGGGAGAGGAGTTACATGTGATTCTATTCATGTATTTGAAAATGTTCAGGTATGATTTGATGTTGCTACCTCTAATGTGAACAAAGGGTAGCTTGGATTTGTGAATTGTGAAAAAGATTAGGTGTTTGGCCTAAAACAACATGTGACCCTTTTGATGGGGTTTCACTCACAAGTATGTTGAGTGATAGGAAGTTCTGTTCTATTAGTTTTTTCTTTGTTTTTATAGATTCTTCTCTTCATTACAAAATTTCTTCTTTTATTAAAAAAATTAAATATTTAAATGAATTTTCTTGTTTGAGATTTAAATTCTGTAATTTCTTATTGTCAATGCAGGATGATGTTTCACCCCTTGACTGGAGTGGTTGGACATTTTTGAATGATACCACCACTGCGGAGTTTGGTCCAACAAGTTTAAATTTATGTTTTGTTGAATCCTTAAATTTTGATAACTTTCCTGATGCTTTAAAATCCTCAAGCACTTCAATTTCTCAGAATGTCATGTCTTGCTCAGATCAACTTTTTAAACAGTCAGATAATATGCTGGAAATATCACTAACAAATTCAGCTGGCCTAGCTAATGAGCGAGCAATATGTCCATCAAAGCTAGAAGGTGTCAAGGTGGTATATAATTTATTGTATAATATACTTTGTTCTCAATAATCCATCCCCTTTTCACAACTAAAAATAATCAGTAGAAACTAGTTTAGAAGTGATACTCTCATCTCAGTGTACTTATAACTTACAAAAAATTATTATCAGGACCTGGACTTGGAGGGGAATGAAATCAATACTTTTTCAGGACATAAGAACATTTTCAGAAAGTCAGATACTGAGCCACAAAGTAAATTTCTTCAAGAAAGGTTAACACACATTACCCAAACCAAATATCTTCTTGGTGATAATATGCGTAAATTTTACCATAGTGAATCTTTTTTTTTATTTTATGTTTATGTCATGCATATTTTCTTTATATTGTAGATTCTCTTAATTACCTTTTGTTGCACTGTTTATTTTTTCTTTTCACTAAACCATTACATGAACTTTGAGTCTCAGTTATTAGATCCTTTAAGACTAGGAACAATATATCCCTAATTAATTGGTTTACTTGTGATTGTTTTGGCCAAAAGCAAGGTGGCTGTGAAATCATTTTGTGGTCTTTACATTTTGATAGATGTGGTATACTATTTTAAGCAATCACTTTCTGTTTCTTTCTTTTCGCAATCTCTCTCTTAACCTACTAAGTACGGACTGATGTATGTGTCTACTTTCTCTTAGCACTACAGTTATATGTCTGTTTTTCTAATTTTTTTTTTATGATGTGATTGACAGCATCTATTACAGCTGGAACTTCTTTTTTTTTGGCATTTATGCTGGAGACTTGTCTAGCAATTTTTTTACTGATATAGTTTTCCCTTGAATACTGCTTTGCAGTATGAGGTCTTACTACCATAGTTGTGAAAGTAAAGCTAAGAGCAGTTTATGGATACATAAATACAAACCAACAAAAGCTTTTGAGGTTCGACATTTTTTGTTCATATTGTATTATATATATATATATATGTGTGTGCGCGCGCGCATGCACGCGCTCACACTCACATATTAAATTGCATGTTTTAATTCTCAATGTTTGTATTTTCTGAATTATGCATTTATTATATCCTGACTTTGTTTAGGTGTGTGGTAACGAAGAGGCTGTGAATTTCTTGCGTGACTGGTTACACCTTTGGCATAAAAGACGTTATGAATGCAGCAAAAAGGATTCGTCTAATAGGGATAGTCAAAGGCAAGATGATGACAATCATATCTATTCTGACAGTGACCATGCTTCAGAAGTTATTGATGAGAAGGATTCCCTACAGAATGTTCTTCTGATTACAGGACCAATTGGGGTGTGTTGAAATACATAATCATGTGTCATTTGATTAATAAAAATATAATTTAATGGGTGAAAATTCTAAATGGTATGGAAAATGAAAAAATAACTTTGATTTTTAACTAACTAGAGACTGAATGACCCAATTATAAAACTATTTCACAATTGAGTTATAATCTTTTGTGGCATATTAAATTCTAGGTAATTTTTTTTAACGTCTCTTCTATTTTGCTTTTTTTTACGCAAATCCTTTCTATTTTTAAAACTTACACAAAACCCCTCCTATTTATAAATATGATGTGAATGAATCTAACATAGTTCTTGATAATTATCATCATTTATATGCTGTCGGATTCAATATTTTTAGTGTAAACACTTATTGTTCATAACTTTTTACTGGTTGCTAAAGTATGAGTTTGTAATGCTGCAGAGCGGCAAGTCTGCAGCTGTTTATGCTTGTGCCCAAGAGCAAGGGTTTGAGATTTTAGAGGTATCACTATTTAACAATATATTTTTGGATATTAATACTTTCAATTTGATCTATTTTTAATTATACTATTCATTAATCTCATGCACCTTACTAATAGTTACATTTAATTTTTCAAATGAATCTAGATCAAGAAGAAATTAAAACTAGAATGAACTCAAACATCACATAAGTTACCATCAATGTAGGAACACTCTTTCTCAACATTCT